CCAAGTTTCAAAGAAATCGGTCGAAAAATGTAGGAGATCTCCGGACAAAATTCAAATACTGAAATGAACAAAAGGCAATAACTTTTGGAAAAATTGTCGAATCAAAATTCTTTTACGGGAGACACAACTTCATATCATGATTATCATGTATACCAAGTTTCAAAGAGATCCGTTGAAAAATGTAGGAGGAGATTTCCGGACAAAAATCAAATATGATTGATATCCGTTGCACAGTTCTACAGAAAAAGTATTTTATAGCAAAATAGCCAAATTGTCCCCTTTTGACCCCACCCCTCAGCCCCCTGGGGGGGGGGGGGGGGGGGGTGTTAACCCTACCATTTGAACAATTTGAATCCCCACTACCTAGGGATGCTTCCAGTCAAATTTAGTTAAATTCCAATCAGTGGTTAAGAAGAAGTGGTTTGGGGAAATTGTTGACGTACGGACGCCACAGTATGGCATGGGCTCACCTTGGTCCTTCGGACCAGGTGAGCTAAAAATGAAGGCCAGAACCAGCATCTGAAGCATCACATGCCATATTCATCCTTATATACACAAGAGGCCCAGTTGGCCTGTATCGCTCTTCTGGATGCCAAAGCAATCATGGGAAAATATTCTCTGAATGAGATCAAGGGAATATGCCAGACCCCAAGGCCAATCCTTGTAGCATATCTGTATTAGATTTTTCATGCCCAGCAATTTTATGTATGGTTATGGGGTGGGGATCTCAACTGTTTCCAAGCATTGACTCAGAAACTAGGTCTGTAAGGTTGTGGCCAGACCCCAGTATCAATTCTTATATCATGACTGCATTTGTCTCTTTTTGCCAGGCATTTGTATATATTGTTTTGGGGTGGGGATCTCAACCGTTTCAAAGTTATGACCCAGGGGTTGAGTCTCCAAGGGTGGGGCAGTCCCCAAGGCCATCCTGGAAGCATATGTGCAATCATCTCTTTATACTCAGCAATTGTATATGCCGTTACAGGGTGGGGATCTCAACCATTTCCTAGTAATACACTTTTTTTGGCCCCACCCCTTAGCCCGTGGGGTCAGCCCCACCATTTGTACAATTTTGAATCCCTGCCTCCCATGAATGCTTCCGACCAAATAGGATCGATATCCATGGCATAGTTCTACAGAAGAAGTCGCTTAAAGCAATATTGCCAAATTGACCCCTTTTTGCCCCGCCTCTCAGTCCCCTGGGGGGTCAGCTCCATCATTTGTACAATTTTGAATCCCTCACACCTAAGGATGCTTCCAGTCAAATATGGTTGATATCCACTACTTAGTTCCAGAGAAGAAGTCACTTAAAACAATAAAGCAAAATTGACTCCTTTTGGCCCCGCCCCTCAGCCCCCTGGGGGGTCAGCCCAACCATTTGTACAATTTTGAATCCCCACCACCTTGGGCTGCTTCCAGTCAAAGATGGTTGATATTCATGTCATAGTTCTACAGAAGAAGTCGTTTGTAGCAATATAGCCAAATTGCCCCCTTTTGGCACCGCCCCTCAGCCCAACCATTTGTACAATTTCGAGTCTGGACTACCTAGGGATGCTTCCAGTCAAATATGGTTGATATCCATCTCTCAGTTCCAAATTGGCCCCTTTTTGCCCCACCCCTCAGCCCCCTGGGGGGTCAGCTCCATCATTTGTACATTTTGAATCCCCACCACCTAGGGATGCTTCCAGTCAGTGGTTGAATTCCAATCAGTGGTTAAGAAGAAGAAGTCGCTAGGGGAAATTGTTGACGTACGGACGACGGACGCCACGGTATGACATAAGCTCACCTTGGTCCTTCTGACCAGGTGAGCTAATAATCCATCCAGGTTTAGTCGTTGTGGACTAAGTATACATAGCAACTAGGTAACTGATCTCAACCTTCTTCCTTATAGTAGTACAAATGTGCAATAAGACAGCAAACGTCAATCCATAAGCTTACGACAGCATCGCAATCCGACAAATTATGATCTAAAATTAATCACTTCAATAAAATTGTTGAGTTTTCTTCAAAAGTCAGTTGGGTTAAGACAATTTATAATATCACATTACTTGTTTTATAATTCAGCTTATCCAGTGATTTGCTTAGTTTTCTATATATATCTTTGTAAGTTCACATGTAATAACAAATGAATTTAAAATTAAATGCATCTGTTCGCAAGATGTTTTTAGTCGCTGCATTTCTTTTACATACAAGTTTAGACCCAATCATTTCAGCCCTAATTTATTGAATATAGTAATCAAAGGCAGTAGCAAGGATGTGGATATTTTTACCTGCTAATATACTTTATAAACTATTCCAGACCAAAACTAATTTCTTTCGATGAATAATATGATGTACTTAATCTAATCCTGGTATGTGCAATCATGCTGTTGATAGGAGACAGGGTATATCCTGTAAACCTCAGATACTATCCTCCATACTCCAGTGTATATCCTGTAAGCCTCAGATACTATCCTCCATTCTCCAGTGTATATCCTGTAAACCCCAGATACTATCCTCCATACTCCACTGTATATCCTGTAAACCTCAGATACTATCCTCCATACTCCAGTGTATATCCTGTAAACCTCAGATACTATCCTCCATACTTCAAGAGTTACGATACTCCTGCGATACTCCAGGAGTTATGTTCACTTTTGCTCTCTGAACTTCTCGGAATATGTGAAAGCAAAATCAAAGACTCAATGTGCGCCACCTTGTGCATGAGACGAGAAAGACTTGTTTGATCCTTTTATGTACATCAAAAGACTATGTGGGTCACCAAACAGTATAACATTGACTGGCTTTGAAAAAGTCAAGTGCTGCTCCTCTATAATCTTCAAAGGACAGGTATCAGCCTTACAGACTGGTCAGGGTTTTTACCAGAGACAAATCGATTAACAAGTTGCATGTCTTCAATTTCGCTATGACATATTCCAGGTGTATCGAGGAAGATATGCTTGAGAATGAGATTAACCAACACAATTTGTAAGATAGAACATTTTTAGGTTTCTATTCCATTTTGATACCACCATAGAGTGAAGCAGCCTACTAATATAGAGGCAGTGTATCACCTGCAATGTCAGTTTTTGTTTATCGTAGGGGTGTACAATTTCATATTATTTGGTGTGCTATCCTACCAAAAAAAAAAAAAGGAATAGAAACCTTCTGGTTGTGTGCTATCCTGCAAAAAACAAGAGGCCCATGGATGGGCCTAAACGGTCACCTGAGTCCTACAGTATTTATTTTTGTTGTTGAAATATGTACCAATTTGAGTACAAAATAGTTAAGTATAACGTTACCTCAAGTTTGTCAGGACCATGAGCTGATCATCCCTAGACCGAGTTTCACTTAAATTGGCCTATTAGAACTTGTTTTTAAGTTCGAAATAGTTTTTCAAAATGGCGACCGTGCCAGCCATATTGGATTTCTGATCGACCCGAAAAATTACAACACATTGTCAGGACCATGAGTCGATCATTCCTACCAGGTTTCAGTTCAATCGGCAAGGCAGAACTTGACTTTAAGTTTGAAATAATTTTTCAAAACTCAGCTAAAGCTCAGGTGACCTAAAAATTGAAAAAAATCTTCTGGTCCAACACATTCCTACATAGAAATCAGTTAGCTACAACATGAAATGTACTAACCCCAGCTTTAAGCTAGCTGAATTGTACAGATGGTGCACCTTTGGTGAGATTTGTCTCGGGTAATTCCATCTACAACAGTTTTCTTATACTGTAAGGCTGAATAAAATTATATGCGTTTCCATTACCATAGGCAACATTAATAACTTCAAACAAATGCTTGTAATTTGCAATAAATTTTGATTAAAAACCCCTTTACATTCCTGCGTTGAACCACAAGATAGATTTGGTGGTAACCAATTTTCAGAATTTTTGCTATAAAAAATTTCAGCTAGATTGTTACTCGTGTCAGTTCAACCACAGGAACTTGAATTTCCATCAGAATGGTCTATTTAAGCTCAGAGAACTGATTATGCCCAATATATACCCCCCCTTTGAATTTCTATCAGAATGGTCTATTTAAGCTCAGAGAACTGATTAAGCCCAATATATACCCCCCCTTACCGTTAAGGGGGGGGGGGGGGGTNAATCAGTTCTCTGAGCTTAAATAGACCATTCTGATAGAAATTCAAGTTCCTGTGGTTCAACTGGCTTAATCAGGAGTGGAATATATTATATTTCATATACAGAGCAAATATTCAATATTTGAGTCCTGGGCCCGTATTCATGAAAGCGATCTCATGCTCAAGTATGGATTTTGTGCTAAAGCCTAATTTCTTGTTTTGGTTATAGATTAATCAAAAAATCTTATTTTGTCAATGATTTGGAAAAAAAATATTGAAGAGACTCGGAGCCAAATACTGTTTTCAATTAATGAATTATCACATTTGACTTGTTGATCATTTGAGATTATTTGAGCGAGTTACAAGAAAGTAGGTTTGAGCATAGAATCAATGCTTGAGCATGAGAACAGTTTCATGAATACGGGCCCTGGACTCATATATTTTCCCTGTGGGACTCGCCAGCTTCTTGGGCACATATTACAAAATATCAATTAGGGTCTACGGTGGCCAAGTGGTTAAGGCGTCCGACATTCTGCTACCATAAGCACGCCACCACTGGATCGCGGGTTTGAGGCCTACATGGGGCAGTTGACAGGTACTGGCAGTAGGTCGGTGTTTTTTCTCGGGGCACTCCCGGTTGTCCTCCACCACAAAAACCTGGCATGTCCTTAAATGACCATAGCTGGTAATAGGACGTAAAACACAAACCAACAAAAAGTTATAAGGGAATGCATCAAAATTTTGAAAAACATGTTCACAAATTGTTTGAATATTTTCTTCAAAAATCGTTGAATACCAACCCAAATTATTATAATAATCGGGGACATACAATTTGAGAAAGATATTGGCTGGCCCTATAACCACAGATAATAATTTGTGAACCGCTTTGAGACTACCTTCGAACTAGGTTGTGATTAAGCAGTATATAAGAACCTCAAATTATTACATTTTATTATTATGGGCTTGTGTTCTATATGAAATTGTACAATGTAGTTTACAACAATGTTTTTGAATGGTTACATGCACACAGCTCTTAATAACCAAGGGACAAACAAACTCCACTATTTTGTATAGGTAAAAAAAGAGATTTAATGACAGAAAACTGGTTTCAAAATCTTAGCATTTTGTGCAAGATTTTCTCATAAACTTACTTAATACTTATTATCAGTGCTCCTTAAACATTGTGCAGATTTCACATAAATGTGCAAGATAACAATATTCAATACAAAAATCCAAACCTGACCTACATGTTTTACACTGAAAGATAAATAATATAATTATTATGTTATGAAAGCATCTGCCGGATAGCTAAATCAATCTCTTCAATAGAGATTATTTGTATATATCTATATGACATATAATTTAGTACTTTTTTGGAGAGCACCGAGCACAATGATCCAGTGTTTTTTAGCGTTAACTGCAGCATATTGACCACAAATTCAATATTAAATTATGTACTCATAATGGAATAATTGCCACCTAATCATACAGTATATATATCTACCATACATACCAAGTATATCTCGCCTCAGCAATAATATTAAGACATAAAAAATTAAATTAGATAATTACTATAACCTATACTTAATAGAGGACAGTAGGACTAAAGCAGCCTAAAAAATTAACAGCAGAACATGGCTTTTAAGAAAAACATAATGATATTCAATAGTCAATATGTATACTATTATAAATGTAAATGATGATTAACAAATAAATGAATATCAATGTAGTAAACACATTGACGAAAAACTTTCCTTACAATTTCAAGACAGGGATAATATCAGTAACAGTAAAGTAACTAAAGTTGTGGCTAAGGGAGTAAAAATTGTATTTCTAAATATCTTGCGAGGCCATGGCAGCATGCAGGTGCAGTTTTAAAAGAGCCAATTTGTTATTTTAATTTGGTTTTAAATTTCCTTTTGTTCTCTTTCCAGTTCCAACTAGAATGTTGCAGTTATCAGGGTTAGACACTCGCACAAATACTAGCCCTCTAATTATCAATTACACTAACTAGTCCTTTTACACACTTATAATAAAAAAAATGAAAACAAGATATCATTTTACTTTTAATTGGAATTATGAATATTCCTTTCCAAACATTGCTTAGAATTCAGAAATGTAATATTCTGTGTTATTAACTTATTCGCCAAAATTTCCTAGGATTTCACCGCATAATATTAAAATATGTTTATGTCCAAAACAAGCAATTCCCTTGTTTTATACTGGAGACGTGTTAAGACTAAATCTACTATAGGGTTGTCCTCGGAACTCAATACCATTATCGAGCGAACAGTGTCTAACCCTGGTAACTATAAATCGAACAATGATCTAGATGAGAGCATCATTGCCTTGTCAATAATCTAGATACTCAATAAACAGCAATACTGCTGGTCAGAAACAAACAGGGGCAGTCCACATATAATGATGTAATTAAGTCCATAACTTCAGATTCACTTAACCAATCATTTGTAGCCAACACAACTGACAAGGAATAATTGTAACAAAACCGGCATCACAGATGGTTCAGTTCAATTAAGTTCATCCCAACGTTTCAATTCTTGGCCAAGTACATTTACATTTTTCATCTGCAGGCAAAATGTCAGAGACCATTGTCAAATGAGCCCATTAATGAACGGACAGACAAGGTTCGCACTTTAAAAATGTCCTTTGATCTATCATCAGTTAATGGTGAAGTTTGTCTAATTGTCTTGTTCAATTTCTTGTTCTTGTTCCTGTTCATTGTCAGTCGTCCAGAGAGTCAAGTTGTCACGCAAAAGCTGCATTATGAGTGTGCTGTCTTTGTAAGAGTCTTGATCCAGAGTATCCAATTCTGCTATGGCATCATCAAATGCTTCCTTAGCAAGATGACAAGCTTTGTCAGGCTGATTAATGATCTCGTAGTAAAAGACAGAGAAATTTAATGCAAGTCCCAATCTGCTCTGATTAGTAGGATGCATATCGTCCTTGGCGAGTTGAAAAGCTTCGTCATAAGCCCCTTCGGCTTCAGACACAATTCTCTTTTTCTGATCTGTAGCGAATTCCGCCATATAACGAAGATAATCGCCTTTCATTTTCTTGAAAAATACCTTGCTTTCCGTTTTCGTACTGCTAGGGAGTAGGTACTGATTGAGCAAATCCAAAACTTCATTGCAGATTTTCGACAATTCCTTCTCGATCTCTTCCTTAAACTCTTTTGCGATGTGCTTGTAATTAGTTTTCGATTCCTGCATATTGACCACTCTCCATGACGATCGCCTAGCACCAACAACATTTTTGTAAGCCACAGACAACAAGTTCCTTTCTTCAATGGTCAACTCCTCCGTGTTCTCACTACATTGCTTGATCACCGATGTCATATGGGATGCCATGTCTTCAAACCTTTCGGCCTGTTCAGCTAGCTTGGCATATGCGACGTGCTCTTCTTTGGATTTTCCCCCGGCCATTTCGATCAACGTTAGCTTCAAACAATCGCCAATGGATACGGATATTTCGTGATGTAGTAAGGTGTGAAACAAGGATGGAATGGTGTGTTCTACAATCAAGATGGCGGAATCCCGAGTGTGTGTGTGTATCAGACGCTCACGTGACCTGTACAGACCAGTTCTGCAGCATTACATGGGGAGTCCATAAATGGAAAGGTTATCTTCATATCCAATGATAACTGCTTTTAAAGAAAACGAAAATAACAAAAAACAGAAAAATATTTTTATGAAAGAATGTTTGGATACGCTTTACAAATATATGACAACAATTGGGCTTAAATTACCCACGAGGGCCCTAATGACCGGATTACCTGCCACAGGTTGCTTTCGCCTATCCTGGTTGAAACGGTTCAAATAGTACAAAAATAATTCGTGATAAACGAACCGACTAGGACCGGAAGTTAACACAGAGCCAAAATGCACAGTTTCGTAGTTTTGTGACTAATAAATAGCATTAAAGCAAAGATTAAACGTGTTTATTTCTATAGTGTAACGTTATGTTACAACTATTTAAATATGCATATTGTATTCCATTTTGTTTTACGTTAAAAAATATAAAGCAAACTAGCGATAGTCGGCAACCACATACCGAACATTCCAGAGACCAGCCTCGATTCCGTATTTCGTATGCCGTTCACATTCTTGTTTAGCCAGTGAAAACGGTTGAACCGGATACACGAAAGTGGCCTAAGTGATAAGATTGTCTGGGGGTAAAACACGGACAAAATGCTTGATAAAATGAAAACTAATTAAATTGTTAACACATGATAAACATAAAAAAAAAACCACACAATACAGTGACAGTACCCTAATCGGATCACCAAACCATCATTTTATTCATTCACTGAAAATTCTGAGGAGGAATTATATTCATTTATGGTTGTTACAACGGAAGACTATTAATGGGTGTTCTAGCACCCGGGGCTCACTTGAGATATTTATAGAACGCTCTGAAGTCACCAATCAGCGTTTCCAGTTTTTTCGAATGTCAGGACCCCAATCGGATCAAGGCTTGAATTTTGCAGTATCTTACACTTCAATTGAATATTTTTTGTCAGCATATTACCATTTTATGATGACCTTTAGAATTTATATGACAAAAAGTATTTCTATAGTGTGAATTTATTCCTATAGTCCAAACCAGAATGCTTAGTCGTCGCACCCGTCATTTTTTAAAAACGTAAGCAAAACAATGACATTTGAGTTTGAATTACGTTTTCTGGTGCTATTTGAACTTAAAAAACTGATCACCTGTAGACAAGAAATGGTGCATGACTATCTATTCAAAGGCTACATCATTGTTATAACTGATTTGTTGACACATTTATTGATTTATAAGTATTTTTGCAAAAAGTAATCCGATTTGGGTACTGCCGCCTTATACACCATTTGGAAGAGAAATGCCATGTCTTTCATAAAATAATAACTTAAGGCTAAACACGTCCCTATTCGAAGAATTATTTTTAAAAAAAAATCTGTTAGAAGGAATGGATGATATATCGTGCCCCGCCTGTGAGCAAATTCGGACAGACAGTTGGGGGAAGTTCGGCAACGTTGGAATCAGCATAAATATGACGCCATAAAAGCATGCAACGTCAGATTTTCCCGCCAATTTCCCGACTTTCCATGTTAGTGTTGCATGGGCCGAATCTTCGTTTATTACAGTAAAACAACAGACAATGCTCGGCTTTATGTATACCATCAATAACAGTTATCATTGTGTTACATGCATGACAAATAAGTAGCAATTCGGTTTACAAAAAGTTCGCTAAACTAGAAAGAAAGATAATGGTTTTCTTTCTATCCTCCCAAAAGTTACTTTCCCCCTTTTAATAACTTAAAAATAGAATTTTCCTCGACTTTTTATTCGTGCGATTATCTCGCCCATTCAACTGAAGTGAAGGTCCTCAAAATTTTAAATATATGCCCGAGACCAAAATGGCAGTGGCCGGACCTACCCCTGCCCGAACTTTCCCTTTTTCACCAAGAAAGAAAATAGAAGGATCCCAACTGTTGCAATAGTGCAGCAGGTTAATCTCGGTGTTTATGTCTCCTTATATCAGTCACCCACGTGGAGGCCACAAAAGATAATTCTATAACAGCAGGGTATATCAAGTTCTTAAATCATTTGAAGAAAATAAAACGGCGGTCGGATTCTAAAACTTGTTTGCATTCCGGACCGTCCCATTTAAGTGTTGCTTCCCCATATAGGTTGTTTTTGGTTTATGATAATTGCAAGTGCCTGTGATTAAAAGGTAAAATTTGAAGGCCAACATATGTTCATGGTTTAAAAACAAATTGTCAGTTTTGTCGTGGAATTTTGGCAATCATAGCAAGGTTCCTTTTTTCTTCTTCTAGATATCTAATAAATACAGTTAAGAGTTCTATTTGAGTACCAAACTTTAATTTACTTTAAACACATTTATTGTCAATAAAATGAAGAAGGGATTGGGCACAAGTTATTACAACTAATCACAACCTTCTCCCGTCATACATTTACAACTTATCACAGCCTTCTCCCGTCATACATTTACAACTTATCACAGCCTTCTCCCGTCATACATTTACAACTTATCACAGCATTCTCCCGTCATACATTTGCAATTAATTGGCAACAATGATAATAGGCAACACAGGAAGTAGATATATATGATATTCACACAGGTACAAATACACAACTTTAAAAAACACCGTTCAAAATCTGTTGCTTGATTTGATGAAGAGATGCACATGTCTAAATAACGTAAGAGCTAGTTAAGGTCAACCGAAAGATCTGAACTGCCAAACAAAAAGAAGCTATAAATTTAAATATAATGACGGCATTCACATTTTGAAACAAAATACGCCTTTCATTTTTAAGTAGTTGACACTCACAGGAAAAGTACCAAACACTTGCCTAACCATTTTCTTTTGGTCAAACCACGGACTAAGATCTAAATCCTTGGCAGTGGCGGACCCAGGGGTGTTGCCCTAGTTGCCCGGGCAACATCCTTTTTTTCTGTTTTTATTTATCATAAAATATAAATACTCTATGTTATAAAATATAACCTGGAATAATACCGCAAACTCAGAAAACTATTCTACGCCTTATTCGATCTGTTTGACAATGGAAATAATGTCCGATAAATTCTAGCTTTCTACGCTTGGCAGTGCTTGAATAAGTTTAGTATTACCACGGAATCAGATTATCTAAGTCCGTATTATTACATCTTCGGAAAAACAAATCGCCTCGCTCTGCTTGGCAGGGAAATTATAATTGTCACAATCTCAGAAATAATGAAGTTCTATATACTGTTTGGTGCCAGAAAGTAGTATACATGTACAACCGACATGGCAATTATAATTTATTAGTTTTTTTAGTCTTTTTCTAAGTTTAAAATCCGCCACTGAATTATAGGCTACGATTTGCAATTTAATTTCTGCCGGAGACTGGAGAGTAAGCCTGCTCTACATGAGTTGTCGTTCCTAACTCATTATGTCCCTTCGTGTTGTCCAGTCTGTCTTCACGTCAAATTATAACCCGTGCTAAGAAAAAATAGACAAAAAGGTTTTCATTATCAAAAAATTGAAATAGCTTTCACAAAAATAAACGACAAAATAAACGATGAGACCGCATCTTATCGAGATAGTCGTAGTCATACAAACGTTTTACCTAAAGGCGTAAAATCTATTTATACAACAAAGTCATGAAATGACACTGAACGACTGAAGATGAGGATGAAAATGCCTTTATGGTAAGAATACTACTTACGGCGAGGGCATTGCTATTTGTCTCCCATTGATGTATTTTTACACTAGACGAACTGTGATGAGGCTTTCTTGAACGCAAAACTACATTCTGGGGTCCATCAACAGGGGTTCGTTATGTATGTCTAAAATACACAGACGATATGATTCATCTACCTCGGGTCACAGCACAAGACAAGTACTGACACACTTTGTGTTTTATTCGCATCATATCAGTGTGTCCACCTTAACATGGCGTGCTGTGGCCCATATCAAATACATCAGTATAGCATATGTGTATTTCAGAAATTTGAAACGAACCTCTGTGCAGGTCCATCCCCGTTCTGTAAACGCACGACTGATCCAATCGGTTTAACCGAGTCGTCATATTAGACAGAATTTCCCATAATTGCCCTCACACCAGATTTTTTAAACGTTTTTACCAGTTTGCATGTCTGTAAATAAGTCGAGTTGTTTGGTGACTTCGAGGGTCCCTTGTTTGACAGCTGTTTTAAAATTTGAGAAACTATAATATAATGTTGTTCACAGGGACACATGTGCCCCACTTTTCAGGGGCATTCTGGACTAGTTAGCATTGTGTGAACAAGGTTTTTTTTAAGATGATATTTTCCAAATAAACGAAATAGAGCAAAATTAAACACTGGTGGAACATGCTTTACATTGTTCAACAACAATAACCAGTCTTTAATTTTACCTGGAAAGTCAGTTTGTAATTACTTCCTTTACACTTACAACTTATTCAACCATCATTGAACGACTCTATGATGAGACCAGTTTCTGTGCCAGTCTGTTTATAGCAAAGTTTGTATATATACCGCTGTGATACCAGTAGGTCCAAAAAGATGGAAGAGTATCTGGAGAAAATATTTACAAAGTAATTATGATATTTGTATCTGCTACAAAAAAATGTTTTGCATACTCCTCTGTAATCTTCAAAGGAAAAGTATCAGCCTAGCAATCAGTCAGATTTTTTTACCTGGGACCAATCAATCAGCTAGGCGTGTGCCTTCATTTTGTCATTGACTTATTCCAGGGGTGTAGAGAGCGTAAGTATAGTGAGTGTAACCCCTGGAGTATCCACAATGTGCAGATATTTTACTAAGTGTTTACTTTCAAAACCCTAAAAATTATAATGTAAAAATCTGTACAGTATGCGTACAGCGATGTGCATTAGGTCAAGGCACAAAAACAGATTTAGAAGTGAAACAGATTCTCGATTGATACTGTACATAACAGGTCCAGTGCATTCTGTCGATTGAGCTATATAGCTGTAATAACCTATACTAGTTGTGTATCAACCTATATGAAATAGGTATTCAATGTAATTTTTCATCTAAAAGTTTAAAAGATTACAAAAAAAATCTAGTAAAATTATTGTTTGTAAAAAAATGTTGATGTAGAAAATTCAGTAATTCTACAATTATGAAAATAAAAATATAGCTTTAAAGGTATGCTTTTTGTAGTCAACATAACCATAAAACCTATAGTTTCACGGAACACTGCTTTGTTTTTATTAAAAATATCAAATGATAGACTATAATAGTAGCTCAATACAGCTATACATTATTGGTGTATATAGTTATGTGAGTCTTAGCAGCTATAGAGCTAAATCCAAAGTTTACTGGACCTGCTCAGTAAGAAAAACAAAATTGGAATTTTCTGAAGAACTGTTCCTTTCGTGTATCCCTATTGAAATGGTTCAGGTGGCACAGAAATACTTCTAACAAATGCACTCTTGGACTGGATGTTAGCTGTCATAATAAGCAGAGCTCAAAATGTTTAGTTTTATAGTTTTGTGACAAATAAGTAACAAGAAAATCAAGGGTAATGTGAAAATAATGCAAAAGATTGCAAACTAGAGATAGACAACATTTAAATGCAACTAGAAGCTACAACTACACATGACTTATCAACGGTTTACACTATACAAACGGTGTATAATGTATCAAACATGTCGCAACATTTTAAGCTTGACAAAAGGACCAGTCGGTCTTGAAATGTTGCGACACATTTAATACGTTGATTGTTTGTATATAAAGTAAAAGTTTGATATTAGATATTTCCAAACTGATGAATGTTATTGAAAAAACTATACATGGGAATTATAGCATAAAATACCCCCATACATAATATACGCTGGTATAAATATTAGCATTTAATTGAGAAGTAGCACTGGGTGACCAGTTTCAAAGTCCCTACGGTGAAATTCACCAAATAAACATACATTCATACTATAGCTTGCAGGTCCTTTTACAGCAGTATATTGGATAAGCACCTTCTTTATAACCATGAGGTCTGGGTATAGAAAATTTGTACAAGTGCCAAATTGATTTTGTTTAAAATAAAATTCTAAAAAACTCTTTGCTATATATATAGAAAGTGGGTGAGCAACACCAGTCCGAAAAAATGCTAAACATATTGGAACTCTTCTCTTTGAAAGAGATGTAACACAGACACTGGGACACTCTATTTTAAGAAAAGTGTATAGAGATCTTTGAGAAATTCCCTGTCTTTGTAATAATTTTACAATAATGCATTACTATGATTTCTGTTTTCATTCAGATCAAGTAAACGATGGATAGTATCATACCTGTTTAGACCTTGTTATTGATGGCTAGTACAATTAAACAGCCTTACTTGGTAATACAACTATGATCAAAGGATAAGGGCACCACTACAGCAGTCTAGCTTATCATGCCCACAGCAGCTGTCTTCATGAAAAATCCAGCTTTGGGTTCATTTTTATAACTCAATAAATGTATTTAAGTGTTTTAAAGGAAGAGTCCATATAGATATAATTGTAAAAATTCATTTGTACACATTTTTAGAAAGTAAATAGGTAAAATGTAGGGTGCAATAATATTGTTTTTGATTTTATGTTTATTTAGGAAATCTACTGACAGATTGGAGGAACCTCACATTGAAACAATGATGGACTAAGTAATTCTACAGACACAGGAATAGTCACTGAACCATATAAAGTCGTCTGAAGATTTCATTATTGTGATTGCAGTTAACACGATCCTTCTGTCGCTACCATGGAGACAAAGCGGTCGCCACAACAGATCGCCTGGGTCGTAGCCCTGTACTGGATGGTATCCATCTCCATGGTGTTTATAAACAAGCACATCCTTAGTGGTAGTTACGGCGTCAACGATTTATCAATCTTCGTCGCTTGGTACCAAAGTTTGGCAGCAGTTATCCTCATCAAACTGGTAACATGGTGGTCTGGCCACCTACGTCTGGGTCTGACACTGCCCACCCTAGATATACATTCATTGCTGAATAGTGACATGCTCAAACTCTCATTTTCATTTGTTATTGGTTTAACTTTCAACAATTTAATGTTGAAACATATTGGTGTGGCCTTCTACCAGGTGGCTAGATCTTCCACTCTGATTTTCACCATCATACTTTCGTTTTGTATACTGAAAAAATCTGTTTCGATTTTAGGAATAGCTTCATGTGCACTGGTAATCATGGGTTTTGTAATTGGCATTGACCAAGAAGATAACGCCGGCACACTCAGCATCTGGGGAATGATCTACGGAATCTTAGCAAGTTTAGCAAATGCTGTTTGTGGAATTTATTTCAAGAGGGTGGAGCAGGTTTTAGACGGCGACAGTTTGAAGCAAGCCTACTACAACAATATAAACAGTGTATGGATCTTCCTGCCTCTTGTCATCAGCTCTGGCCAAGCTCAGCAGGTGTTGTCATCAGATCTGATCACCAATGCCAGCTTCTGGATGTTCTTGACCTTTTCTGGCTTTCTTAGCTTGTCGATTGGCTGGGTGAGTGCTTTACAAGTGAAGTACACGTCTCCCGTGACACACCATATCAGCATCAATGCCAAATCGGTGACACAGACCATGTTAGCGATCATGTTCTACCATGAATATAAAACTTTGATGTGGTGGTGCGGCAATTTACTTGTGATTCTTGGAGTCTTTTTGTACGCTTACACCAAAATGAACGAGACTCCACCGAAGGATGGTGGGTCAAGGAAACAGCTTCCATCATACACAGATGTTTCCATTCAAAAGACAAATGCAAATTGAATCTCCAGTATATATCATTGCCACGACGTTGAATGTAGCATTGTGAATTCATTGTTTATTCCTTAAATGTTTTGCAAATCAAAACAATAGTTTGTGCACTTAAGGGGTATTAAGGGTAAGTTCCTGGTGATCAAATTGCATTTTAATATGTTAGAATATTATTTTATTTAAAACACTTAGATAAGTTTGTTTATCATGGGGCAAATTTTCAAAATACATGAACTATATTCAGGCAATGAAAACAAGATTTTGAGTGTTCACAGTTATACAATTTAACACTTACAGGGTTTAAATGGATGATGGAATGATACATATTTATATAAAGGTGCAATACACTCTACATGATTTTCTAAAAAGAAATATGATTATATTGTTTCAATGTAATTGATTTCATCTGATACAAAACAAAAAAGCATTTTGAAAATTTCACAACTTCCAGACTGTTTGATTTCTAATTTGGTTGTAGCCATTATCAGTTAGATAAGATGAGCAACAACAGCTTTTATTGTTCAAAACAAAGTATCCTATTTGTTGTAATCAGCACCTCTGACGTAATAAGCAACCTTTTTCATTTTTGGGCAAGTATTGAAATGAATTATGAGACATTTCTCAATAACTATCAACTGTATTATACAAAAAATCTTTCGTGAATGTTTATGATTATCATATGTACATGTGTATTTGACTGTTTATCTAAAGTTTCGATCTGATGTCAATGATTGCCACCTTCTTTGATTGTGTAGGATGTTTCACACTTCAATCTTATTGTGTCAAAGTCATAATTCTTTTAGGGACTGATACATAGGGGGGTATCCTTTCAATCAAACAACCTAGGGACTGATACATAGGGGGTATCCTTTCAGTCAAACAACCTACTTTCACGTTTTTTCAATGAATATGTCTATATGACCACTTTGGTCTCTGAACAGTTGTGACACGGAATGCTATACCTTTAGTTCTGCTGGCACATAGACGGTATACTTTATATCAACAGTTCCAGACTAACTTTTAAAGTTTTATTGGAAATCAAGTTGGTCGTCCTGGCCTTGGATTGGCAGAGATATTAACATAATATCTTGGTTCTATTGAAGCAGTTTGAATGTTATCTGTTGTAGCTGCCACAAACATGCATCTTCTGTGACGCAGGGGTACCACTGGGGGACAGTGACCCGGGGGTACCACTGGGGGACAGTAATATGGGGATACCACTGGGGGACAGTGACAAGGGGATACCACTGGGAAACAGTGACGAGGGGATACCACTGGGGGATAGCAACACGGGGATACCACTGGGGAACAGTGACGTGGGGATACCACTGGGGGATAGCAACACGGGGATACCGCTGGGGGATAGCAACACGGGGATACCACTGAGGGACAGTGGCGAGGGGATACCACTGGGGGACAGTGACGAGGGGATACCACTGGGGGACAGTGGCGAGGGGATACCACTGGGAGACAGTGGCGAGGGGATACCACTAGGGGACAGCAACGCTGGGGTACAGAGATGCTGGGGTTCCACTAGGGACAGTGACGTGGGGACACCACTGAGGGACAGTGACACGGGGGGTACCACTTGGGGACAATGAGTGACCCAGGGGTAGTACTGGGGGACAGTGTTGCTGGGGTACCAGTGGGGAACAGTTATGCTGGGGTACCAATCGAGGACAGTGAAGTGAGGTACCACTGGGATACAACGTAGCAATCCTGCTTGTTTTTCATGCTAGTCATTTGCTTTACATTTTAAATAAGAAAAATCACACTGTTAATTCTTGTACGTTCCTTAAATTGTGTTATTTTATCTCCCTTCTCATCAAATGAGATTCTGTGTGTATAAGGAATACATGTACTATATAAAGTACACATTAATTGGTCATGCTGAATGGTATTAACATTTATGAATGGGTTTTCATTGATAAAAGGTTTGTTTACGTTATATTGTGGTGCGGTATGTTCATTCACATTATATTGTGGTGCGGTATGTTCATTCACATTATATTGTGGTGCGGTATATTCATTCACATATATTGTGGTGCGGTATATTCATTCACATTATATTGTGGTGCGGTATGTTCATTAACATTATATTGTGGTGCGGTATGTTCATTCACATTATATTGTGGCGCGGTATGTTCATTCACATTATATTGTGGTGTGGCGTTCTCATTCACATTATATTGTGTTCATTCACATTATATTGTGTTCATTCACATTATATTGTGGTGCGGCATGTTCATTCACATTATATTTTGGTGCGGTATGTTCATTCACATTATATTGTGGCGCGGTATGTTCATTCACATTATATTGTGGTGTGTTCATTCACATTATATTGTGGTGCAGGATGTTCATTCACATTATATTGTGGTGCGGTATATTCATTCACATTATATTGTGGTGTGGGGTGTTCATTCACATTATATTGTGGTGTGGTATGTTCATTCACATTATATTGTGGTGCGGTATGTTCATTTACATTATATTGTGGTGCGGTATATTCATTTACATTATATTGTGGTGCGGTATATTCATTCACATTATATTGTGGTGCGGTATGTTCATTCACATTATATTGTGGTGTGGCGTTTTCATTCACATTATATTGTGTTCATTCACATTATATTGTGTTCATTCACATTATATTGTGGTGCGGCGTGTTCATTCACATTATATTGTGGTGTGGTGTGTTCATTCACATTATATTGTCGTGCGGCGTTTTCATTCACATTATATTGTGTTCATTCACATTTTGTTGTGGTGTGGCGTTTTCATTCACATTATGTTGTGGTGTGGTGTGTTCATTCACATTATATTGTGGTGTGGTATGTTCATTCACATTATATTGTGGTGCGATATGTTCATTCACATTATATTGTGGTGCGGTATGTTCATTCACATTATATTGTGGTGTGGTATGTTCATTCACATTATATTGCGGTGCGGTGTGTTCATTTACATCATATTGTGGTGCGGTGTGTTCATTCACATTATATTGTGGTGCTGTGTATTCATTCATGTTATATTGTGGTGTGTTATGTGCTGCGTTTCATGGTAAGGTGGTACACAGTACTTATACATGGATATATAAAACAACCTGTACAAAATGTATCTAAGTTGGATGTTCACATGTGTTTACTTGGCAACAGATTTATATATATACCGCAACTTAATTTTATTTTTAAAAGATTATGGTTTTGTAAGCAATCAACATTACTTTGGATGTTTTTTATGTTATAAGTGTCAGCTTTATCATTTCTATGTGTTATAAACTTGCTTCATCAATAATATTAAATCAAAAATTTTTGTATCATTATTTCAGCATTATAATTTGTATTATTGTAAAACTAATTAATACATGTATTGTATGATATTTGCTGTTATATTTTACTGTTTTTATTATCTCTTGACAGTGTGTTGTATAGAAATTTCTCCCACCATTCACAGTATTATCTTTAACCCTTAGTGTTTGACAGGTTGCACAATGATATGACAATGACAACCCAACACACACTCAAAAGGAAGAATACTGGGTGGTCATGGGGACAGTAGTATATGATGTCATGTTCAGATTTAAATGGGCGAGAACCTGTATTGAAGTGTGGAAATCTCGGTCCAATCGGGAGATAAATCACAGCCTTTAAAGTTTGCTGAGATGAGTGCCTAATCAAGTGTAAGGATATATTTAAAGAGTGCATCTAGTGACTTTTAACATCAAGTGTAAAAATGCAAAAGAAAACACTGGTAAAGATACAAAAAAACTCTTGAAATTCAATATATATTAAAACAGCTATGGTGGATTATGTATTGCTAAATTGACAAAAAAATGTTCATGTAAATAATTATTTTGTGGCGTACCTAATTTTTTGAACTTTGTCTGCAGGATTTATTCACAAATATTTGAACTTGCAATTTAGTGGAAACTTATTTAGTATTGGTAGTAATTATTGATGGACAAATAGTTGTGGAATATTTAAATTCATGAAAAAAACAACGTTTTGATTGTTTATTACCAATTCAGGTTACACATTATATAAGTCTATAATACCAAATATATATACATTGTAGTTTAAAGATGCATTTCTGACAATTTCTTCTCTTGTTTTGCATATGAATTACCGATAGTCATGTTAAGTGTTTTCTTATGATGATGGTAGTATGTGGATTAAAACAATGGTATTCTGAAATACATTTTTGTGGTACTCGGTGCAAGAAAAAATACACAAAATATTCATATAATTATGTGTATGCTTGTCAAAATAATTCTTTTCTTGTTATAACATTGATTTGTTTAAAAATGTAATCAATCAAATAATTTTTTGAAATGATAAATGTATCAGCATTGTTTTATTTGTAGATGATTTTTTGTTTAATATATAATACTAGAGTTATTTTATAAACATTGGGTCTCACACATGGACAATTTTATTGATATACATGTACATGTATTATGGAAGTATATCATCTATCTTTGAAATACTTGGTATCTCCTTTGTTTTTCTCTTCAATTTAATTTGAGGATATGTCACCAGCACTTACAGACTAGGGAGTAAATATACATCTCTATAACTAGACAGTGTATACCGCATGTAAATTGTAAAACAAAACATGTACTGTAAAATCACTAATTTTTTGGGAGGTTTTTAATTTCATTGATTTCGAGGGTAATCTTCATCCACAAATTCATTGGTCCACAAAGTAATTATAAGTCTGATATAAAGCAAGTCTTCATTTGAGTGGGTACTCGTAGTTCACAAATTCATGTTCCCTCATAATGGTGTTTTGTCTGGAAACCACAAAATTTGGGGCCTACAAAAATTGTCTGGTGTCACATCAGTTAATTATCAAGTGAACACGATACTTGTATTTTAACTGCGAGAGAAAAATGGGTTCTCTCCGATTAAGACTTCCAGGTATATACTGTTTACTGTCAATGCAGTACAACTCAATTTTAATCACATGTACTACAGATGTTCAAAGCTCAATTTTTTTAAATTTGTATAATTAGCTTGTGACTAACCCAAGCTTGTACTATTATACACCACAATAAAAATAAAACCCAACCAAAGGCGATAGATAGTTCATACACAACCCTTACAGTAAAGATTGTGGTATACCTGGCCAATCAAAACAAATATGTCTGCTTCCTGTTACAATTATTTTAATCATGTTTATATATAGGAGAGTAATCTTGAATTTAACAGTCATGAGTTCATCCTTGAAAACTGCAAAAAAAAGTTTAGGGAAGTCACAAATAATCAGGGTAGGTAGGTATACGTAGGGTAACTAGAAACAACCAATAGCCTTTTCAGTCTTATTGCCCTAGCGCTTCTTTAAAAATGTCGTTCAAGGCTGACTCTATCATGCAAGGCCAACAATGTATATTTGTGAGTGATTTAGGGCTTGAGTGTATACAAGTTATGTAAAACAATATAAGCAAACTTGTGTGTATATTAATTTCGTTGTATAAAACAATATTAGCAAACACTTGTGTGTATATTAAGTACATCTACTACAGGAGATTATCGGTGTGTTCCTTATATATATATGTGCCATTCTGTTGCCAGTAAAAACCTTTGTAATAGCTTTTAGGTGACATTATCATAACTTTATTCCATTATATTTAATGTATGTACAAGGATTATCCTTCATTGCCTCTAGTCTGCTAAACATATCTCATAACACCTTACATGTTGTCTCCATCTAATTGTTTATATTTTGAAAATTCATTTGGTATATGAGTTCAAAAATACTTCTGTAGAGATGCAATAATAGTAGGCTACGGTCACTAGAGAGGTCTCTTACTTTAGAAGTAAATATTAGACTACGGTCGCTACAGAGGACACTTTGAAAGTAATAGTTGGCAACCACGGTTATAGAGGGTGCATACTTCAGAAGAAAGAGTTGGCTATTTTTGCAACATAGGAGGCTTAAACCTCAGAAGTAGCAGTTTGCTAGGACTGTTATAAAAAGATGCTCAATGCCTGAGCTTTGATTGGTGCTATAATTATCATATTTGCTGAGCATGATCTTTTAAGTTAAAGATTCAAGGGTTGTCAATATAGTATAACATAGGGTTGATAAGCTTTTTCATGCTGGAATATTCAGTTCATTTGTGTTCATATGACCATGCCAGACTTAGAAGCCATAGATTATATTATTATTACAATGTTTGTGTTTTGTTATCTACGCTATTGAACCAGTCTTCATGTACATTTTTTCAACTTTTAATTTTGCCATAGGGAATGTATTGATCTAAGTTGTGGAAATATCTTTATTTAAGCTAAGGAATATGGTATGTGAAATTGGGGCCAGACTTAGAGGCCATAGATTATATTATTATTACAATGTTTGTGTTTTGTTATCTACGCTATTGAACCAGTTTTCATGTACATTTTTTCAACTTTTAATTTTGCCATAGGGAATGTATTGATCTAAGTTGTGGAAATATCTTTATTTAAGCTAAGGAATATGGTATGTGAAATCGGGGCCATGTGAGCAATACAGTCACTGTAGGTCGTCTACTTGTTTATCCCTATATAATGCATCCTAATAGAATCATCTGTCCTCCTGCGAACAGTGTATTAGATCTGCTGAAAGTGATGACATTAATCAGACAACCAAAAGGTGCATGAATCAATTTGATGGTACTTTCCAACATCCCAACTCCCTTAATTTATTTTTGAAATTTGGTTAAAACAATATGTCTTTGATGAGCCTATATACTATAGACCTGGAACCAGTAAGTAGTAAATAATACACTTTAAATGTGAGGGTCAATTGATTTAATAAGGGGGAGGGTCAATTGATTTAATAAAAGGGAGGGTCATTCGCTTTGATAAAGGCGGAGGGTCAATTGATAAAAGGGAGGGTCAATTGATTTGATAAAAGGGAGGGTCAGTAGATTTGATAAAGAGGGAGGGTCAATTGATTTGATAAAGGCGGAGGGTCAATTGATTTAATAAAGGGGAGGGTCAATCGATTTAATAAAAGGGAGGGTCAATTGCTTTAATAAAAGGGAAGGTCAATTGATTTAATAAAAGGGAGGGTCAATTGATTTAATAAAACGGAGGGTCAATTGATTTAATAAAAGGGAGGGTCAATTGATTTAATAAAGGAGGATTATTGACATTCATATCAGGGTGCAGATATTACCAGGTACATAATTATTTCTCCCTTCATCATGTCTCCTTGGCTTTTTAAGGATAAGTATATGAGTATATATAGTACAACTTGTTGCTAGCGATCCTTGCCATATGTCAATTATTATTCTGTGTTAAAAACATGTTTGGAATTCTGTATTCTTTACAAGTGTACTTTTTTATATTGGTAAACACTAGTATATGGGTAGATGAAGTAATTAACTTTTGTTGATTACTTCATTTTACGATTGAAAAACGTTTCATGATAAATGTTTGAATTAATTGCTAATACTAACTGTTGTCAATAGAAAAATAAACATAAACTTACATGAAAATAATTTGCAATAGAAACTGAGACATGATTTAAATTTAAATACTACAATACAAATTTTCCACCTCTGTTTTCCAAATGTAAGCTTGTGGACTACCCACGTATTTCAGAGGGCGGGGTGACAAAGAAAGTAGGGAGAGGGCGTGGTGACAAAGAAAGTAGGGAGAGGGCGAGGTGACAAAGAAAGTAGGGAGAGGGCCGGGCTCTTGCCAGTGTATATAAATAAATTACCACTACACTACTTGACTTGTCTATGATATGATGCTTTCTAAATAAAGATTTTTACTTTCACCAACATACACAGCTAATTATGTATACTTTTTGTTCAATATTGGTTCTGTATTGTTTTTCTGTGGATCATTTTGATCAGCATTAGTGTTTTGTGTTTCTGATGTTATGAAGCTGTGTACACTCACAAAGTACTTATTGCTTGTGTATGTGTACTAAACCATATGATGTATCTCGATGTACACAAAAGCCAGAATTAAATGTTGCCTTGAAACATATTTATTGTTGTTATTTTGATTAGATACATCTTCCAGGGAATTTCCTTTAGGAGCCTTGTCTTTGTAGTAGAACTGGGTCGATCATCGGGAAGCTCAATTGGTAGAGCGTTAGTATGTGGTTCGGAGGGTCCCGGGTTCAAACCCTGGTCTGGGCTTGCATTTTTCCTCCCCTATTATATGTTCGTAGTTTATATGAAACTTAAATTTAAAAAATATATTAAACAAATTTACTCTGCACATCATTGTGTACTAAAAAATATAGACAAATACCGTAAGCTTTGAGTAAAATACAGCAAGCTAAAGTGGAAAAAATCCACATTTCTTACTACTGTAAATATGTGTATTAGGTTACCTTACAAGTGTCAGCTGTATGGAATTTCCCTTCAGCTCAGCAGTAGAGCATCGGGCTGGAGAGTGAAGGGTCACAGGTTCTAGCCCCAGCGATGGCACTATCTTTATCACTATTCTTTTCCTATTACACAACACTGTATTAAACAAGAGGCCCAATGGGCCTGCATCGCTCACCTGGTATACATCTCACACTTGTGATCTTAAATAAAGCTAAAGGCTAAATATCAGTATTTATGATTAAAAGTCATCCGAAAGAACCTGTTATTATATTTAAAAACAGTTCACCCCTGTGACCTTGAAAGTCGAACAAGGTCATTATGTTGAACAAATTTTAAAGCCCTTCATGTCGGGATGCAACTTGCAAAATATCACCACCCTACCTTTTGATTATTGAAATTTGGTCATTTAAATGTTTAAACATATTTGAATAAATGAGACCTCGAAAGTGGGTAAAGGTCATTATAATAATAAGGCTTGATAGCCCTTTATCCATGCATGCTACTGGCTAAATATAAAAAAAAGTCTGTGCCTCGTGGTTATTCAGAAGAAGTTGTTCAAAGATTTTTAACAAATTTGATCCCTGTGACCTTGAAAATAATTCAAGGTCATTCATTTGAATAAATTGGTAGCCCTTTATCCTAGCATACTACTGGCTAAATATCAACATCCTTGGCCTTTTGGTTATTCAGAAGAAGTTGTTTAAAGTGTGTTTTTTTAGACAATTGACCCATGTGACCTTGAATATAAGTGAAGGTCGTTCTTTTGAACAAACTTGTTAGTCCTTCATCTCAGCATGCTACTGGCCAAATATTATCACCCTGGGTATTTGGATTATTCAAGAGAAGTTGTTTAATGATTTTTTTTTTACATATTTGACCCCTGTGACCTTAAATATGAGTGAAGGAAATTTATTTGAACAAACTTGGTAGCCCTTTATGCCAGCATGCTACTGACCAAAAATCACCATACTGGTTCTTTTGGTTATTCAGAAGAAGTTATATACAGATTTTTTAAGACAATTGACCCCTGTGACCTCAAATGTAATTCAAGGTCATTCATTTGAACAAAATTGGAAGCCCTTCATCCCAGCATGCTTGTACTGACCAAATATCATCACCGTGGGCATTTTGGTTATTAAGAAGAAGTCGTTTAAAGATTTTAAACATATTTGATCCCTGTGACCTTGAATAGATGTCAAGGTCATTCATTTGAACAAACTTGGTAGCCCTTTATCCTAGCATGCTACTAGCCAAATATCAACATCCTGGGCTATTTGGTTGTTGCAGAAGAATTTTTTTTAAAGGTTTTTTTTAGCGATTGACCCCTGTGACCTTGAATATAAGTGAAGGTCGTTCATTTGAACAAACTTGTTAGCCCTTCATCTCAGCATGCTACTGGCCAAATATCATCACCCTGGGCATTTGGGTTATTCAAAAGAAGTTGTTTAATGTGTTTTTTTACACATTTGACCCATGTGACCTTGATTATGAGTGAAGGTCATTCATTTGAACAAACCTGGTAACCCTTTATCCCAGCATGCTACTGACCAAATATTATCACCCTGGGCATTTGGGTTATTCAGAAGACGTTAATGTTTAAAGATTTTAACATATTTGACCCCTGTGACTTGGCAAATAGGTAAAGGTCATTTATTTGATCAAACTTAGTACATGTAGTACTTCATCCCAGTTTGCTTCTGGCCAAAAATCATCACCCTAGGCCTCTTGGTTATTAAGAAGAAGTTACTTAAAGTAAAATATTGACGCCGGACGGATGGGCCAGGTGAGCTAAAAATCATTTAATATTTGAAATTAATTTATTAAACCCCCTGGTTAGTGAGGGGCGTGTCCATCTGTGCGTCTCGATCTGCCTCCTCTGTCTGTAGTGGAAAGCTTGTGTAAAGGATATTTTATGAACCCCAGGACACGGTTAAATGGTCAAAGGTCATAGACAAAGATATCAGTTCACTACATTTGAAGTATAAACTTGTGTACTCTAATGAATCAACTCATTACAGACTAATTATGTCTTGTACACCATTCCCAGGGTTGCCAACCTCTAAGGAGCCCAGTGTGGGATGTGCGAGACTTTTGACATGATGCCCCGGCCAGGTGACATGATCAATGTCGCAGCGTAATGTAGATTTACCTATGTATCAAACAAATCCTGGCTTTCTCTGATTACTATGACATTTGGATTGTTGATCTATTCATTTCAATATCCTAACTATTTTAGAAATTAAAAACACGATTTGCAGATCTGAATTAATTTTCACACCAACACATGACATCAGACATACAACGTATCACATGATTTCTATGGGTCGGGGAGGGGTTAGATGGCTGGGGAGTTTATCTATCTATGTGATTCTCCGCTTACTTTGTTTTAATTATTGTTTGATTTTTGTAATCCGCTTTCTGATATTGTTAAAAAAAAAATCATGTATTAGATAACAGGCTTATTTTTCATATTAAAAAATCCTTTAAATATTATTAGAAAATTGTTTTGTAATTATTCCTACATGGATGCATCATGATTTCCATTGGGTTTTTTTTAATTAATAAAAATGGTTTATCAATATTGAGAAAAAGGATATATGTATTTTTTTAAATATTTAAATCTATGTTCAAGTGTTGATAATTGAATTTTGAATATTTATAATTAATTTATTGATTGACTCTTTAATATGGTAAAAAGGCTTTTTATACTTAATCTGATTCGTGTTATATTAAAAAAAACAAGCGTATCTGTTGAGTCTTTTAAATCTTAATGTTCATATAACTTTTGGATCACATTGGAATTTTTAGTTGCCGATTCATGATTTACAGTACAATATATTGTAGTTGAGCACCCTTGTTATCTCCCTTGGTTTGCTCTCCTCGTGGTGAGACAAAAAAAAAAGAATGTTATAGAAAATAGGCGAAGTTTGGAAACTTTGAAAAAGGTACAGGTAATTAAAAGACATGGAGACAAATGATCTCACAACTAACAAGATATATTGAATCTATTACTTTACCTTATACCAGCTACAAACACACACTAAAAGTGTTGACTATTTGGTAAGTTTATTCAAACAAGGCTGCAGTGGGTTTTTTCAGTTTTGAAAATGGCGCTATCGCATGTGGGCCAAATATTTTCCTAAAATTGAAGCCTTTATGAGGCTTACTTTTTTATGTAACCGTATGATTTTACGCAAAACAACATTGCATTTTTTAATTGATACCATATTTGGTGATTTTTAAAGGAACTTGAAACGAGGGTTGGTCACAGCACATACTTTGGCTGCGATAACGTAGCTTTCTGACGACGAGAGATTTGTTTATGGCAGAGGAGGCCGGATATTACAGTAATACAGTACTATACAGACTTATATATACAGATACAAGGTAATGCCAAGTAATGGAAGCGAGACGGAATCAGTTTGATGAAATAATTGATCATATTCTAGACGTTCCGGTACTTGGGATATAATATTTCGATTACCTTTTTTTTGTATGGACAAAAATGCCGAAGAGTCCTCAGAGAGTGGCTATAGTCACTCTTACTTCTTACCGCCTGGCTTAATATTGATAAGTCATAAAGACACAAATTGCAAAATACCAGAATCTTAATCTAGTGTTGAACATGGTCATTATTGACATTTTCCCTGACATGTGTATACCAACCAACTTCCACATTTTTGTCATTTTGAGGAAAAGTTATGAGCCAGTCTCATACTATATACACTGGCTTGTATTTCAACAAACAAATACAAAACCTAAAAACACTGTTTTAATTAAACAAGTCACACTTCAATAATATTTGCTGAAAGAAGACAAACACATGCATACTATATATTACGGTAACGGGTTGTTTCGCCCCAAATCCCGTTCGCCCCAGGTTGTTTCGCCCAAAAAATCAAGTCATAAATATCATGTTAAAAGTTAAAAAAAATATCTTTCTCTTGAATCAAGATATAATTACGTGCCGGAAGGTGAAGAACGAACCTGTATATTCATCACCGAATCCTACAACGGACATACTAATATCCGGAATATACTGTATATTATCGTTTTCATTTCTTTACCTTAATTAAGTAATGTTGTTCTTTATAAAATGCACCTGTATATATTTTAACGTTAAAAATATTTAAAACATGATATAAACAATTAAAAAGCACCCTGTCACGTCAGCCATTTTATATAAAACAAATTTCTCTTAGTACATAGATACGTATACGAAATGGACATAGATTAGGTACAAATTGCGTATAAGAATGAAAAGAAATTAATACTTTAATTATATATATCTATAATATATAGATAAGATATGGACATATAATGAAACTAAATTAATTTCTCTAAGTACATAGATACGTATACGAAATGGACATAGATTAGTTACAAATTGCGTATATAGACTGAAACTACATACGTATATTAATTGCGTATAAGGATGAAAAAAAAAAAAACTTTCTCTAGAGAAGTATACGAAATGTAAATAATTCCCCAAGTACATAGATACGTATTTTAATTGTTAAGCAGATGTGTACATTTGAATTATGAAATAAACGTTGGCAATTTACTTAGGGAATTATCAAAATACATTAAATATACTTGTATAATAATGTACTTGTCAGTCTGGCAGGTTCTATGCTGCCAGGTTCTATGCTGCCAACAGTCACACACATCACTTCAGATACCATGCTGTCTGCGTCTAACCACGGAGTCGCACAAAATGCACAAATCATCCATAACGTAAATTACGTTATGGATGATTTGTGCATTTTGTAACTTGTCATAAATAGAGCATTTCTCAGTACTGTGTTATAATTCAACATTACTAATGTTGAATTATAACACAGTATTGAAAAATGCTCTATTTATGACAAGTTACCTACTCAAAATTATCTACTCAAATATGCATATTAATTTTTATTGGTCGGTACTATCACGGACTTAAATCTAATTCCGTGGTACTATCAAAACTTCTCAAAATGGACATAATCTCCAATTAGCAAAAAAACAACACGGACGTGTGCAGAAATCAAGTAAAGAAAACATTGTCACACGGCGACGAGTATGCGTACAGCCGTACACTAAACTAATTTAAATGTGTTAACATGGAAAATAATATTGTTGTATACCCCGCAATTTTTAAAATTACACCATTTTTGTTTCATTTCACTATTCTTACTTATTTCTAAAATTAAATTCAATATATGTTATAATGTGTGTCGGCGTTAAGAAAATAACGTAATCCGTTTTTTGCTTTACAATGTACTTAAAACAACACAAACACATTTTTTTTTTTAAATAAAACTTATTTTAATGATATGAAAGACTAAAAAGACTTAATTTGTGACTTAAAACAAATAAAAATGAAAAGAAAATACCAAACAATGTTTCGCCCTAAAAAAAATGTTTTAGGGCAAAACAACCTGGCGCGAAACAACCTAGGGCGAACGGGATTTGGGGCGAAACAACCCGGAACCTATGTTACAGCATCAGCACTACGGAAACAAAGCTACAATCATAAAAGCACTAAAAATGGTAAAACAAACATGCTGACCTGTTGAACATTTTCACTAAAAGCTGAAATAATAATAATGATAATAATCTTTATTTAACATCGTGTACAATTGTCAACAACAAACATAAGCTCTGTAGAGCTTTTATTACGACGCCGCTAAGGGAACAAATGGTGTTTTCGTGGTGTTTTTGGCATGCAAAAATACATTAAGCTGAAGCGATGAACATGGATACAAAAACAAAACACAATGCTTAACAGCAGAAATGTGGACATCACAAAAGATCAGGACATAACCATAAATACATAGCACCCCAGGGATGTTTTCGTTTAAACGGTTCAACCGGTCGGACCAGAGTTTTTGTTTATTAAATAAGGTTGGACTTAGTAATCTGATGTTGCTTTCAGTTGAGCCTTGACAAAGCCTTGCAAGGCCTGCATATAAATACCCCAAATTGTTACATTTAAAAACGGACATTAACCGGTTGTTTCTCATAAACGAACAGGCCCTTGCAGTTGAGGCTATCCTACATCTGAAGCTGTCTACAAAATTTAAACTATGTTAACCTTGCTATGGGACATTTTAATAATTAAGCCGTCAATATGTCCAACCTTCAAATATAAGTTTCAATCTTTAATTGGGGTATTTGAATATTATCAGGGGGTTGAAATTTAGGGTGACTATAGCCTCTTTCAGGGGGCTTGTTGAACCTTAAAATATAAAATCAGCAACACACAGGACACAGCAGTTGAAAAGTTAGTCTAAGTGCAATTTTTTTATAAAGCATCAAAATATTTTTTGGAAGAAACAAGTTGTCTTATACATTTACAAGTACTGGAGTAGTTTTGTACTGAAACAACCATGTACTAACTTGTCTGTACCCCATGTCAGCCTAGCCAAACTAATGTCGGAACGGACCTGTAGTAATTGTACTCGACTTGGACCAACGTTAATTGTTCCCATTTTTGTACTGATCATGAATCTAAATTTGATCTTTTTAAAAATTCTGGAAATTTAAAGAGACTGTTTTTATTATCCCTGAAAGAAGATATTGTTCAGAAGCAAATTCTGACACAATGTAGGAAAAGATCATTTTGATCACTATTTCTTCAAGAAATGTCAGATTGCAATCAGTCGTATCTCTGCTGTACACAAATATATATATATATAAGGAGTACATACAAGCGACTTGTATCTACAGTCAGATAATATGATATTTACTGATCTAGTGAATCAATGAATTGAAACTTTGTTGTTTTTGCAGAAAATGACTGATTTTCAACTTTAAAAAGTAAGAATGGACAAACAGCACAAAGAAATTCTGCGTACAAAACGAGCTGACCTGGTGGATGACATCAATATAGATGATGGACTTATCACACAGCTTCTGTCACGGAAAATAATCTCAAAACGTGTCGGCAACACAATACAGGTGAGCTCTCACAGTGGCCTGAAAGTGTTTACCTGGTAAGCTACATCTGGTTATTAGAAATACTTATTTCCCCATCCAACCCTTTATCCTACAAACACCCATTTGGTATCATAGAGTTGGAGTGTTGACCGGAAATTAAAATATGTTGCATTGTAACTTTTCAATATGAAATAGTCACTGTTAATTAGTGATGGGCTGCTGTTCAATTATAATTGAAAATTGATAAGTTTTCCCTTCCAATTCTGATTATCGATTACAAATCCCATATAAAAATCTATGTAACCAGTTTATTACTGAAATCAAAGTGTCAAATGTTTACAATGTAAGGTGTGCATTGAATGTTGTTTATCCTTATGATTTTCATTATGTGATTGATGGTACAATGAAGAAAAATAAATGAAACTGCATTAAAGTTGCTTGAAATCCATTCATCATTCAAAGAAGGAAACCTAATTAATAGACAACAACTCAGTCTAATGATGTAAAAATAGTGTTCTCATTTTATTTGTATGTTCAGTCTCATAAAATTATAAACAAACTCTGCAGCCAATCATCAATTGATTTACTACTTCTGGTTACAAACCGATTATGATTTAAACTGATTGTCCATCACTACAGTGTACTGTTAATAGTTATAACTTATAACGTCAGAATTATTAACATTATCGAAAGTAGTAAAAGGTGTAGCATGTGCAGGGCAAATATAGGGCTGTGCATGGCTATATAGGGCTGTGCAGGGCTATATAGAGCTGTGCAGGGCAGATATAGGGCTGTGCAGGGCAGATATAGGGCTGTGCAGGGCTTTATATAGCTGTGCAGGGCAGATATAGGGCTATATAGAGCAGTGCAGTGCAGGGCAGATATAGGGCTGTGCAGGGCAGATATAGGGCTGTGCATGGCTATATAGGGCTGTGCAGTGCAGATATAGGGCTGTGCACGGCAGATATAGGGCTGTGCAGGGCAGATATAGGACTGTGCACGGCAGATATAGGGCTGTGCACGGCAGATATAGGGCTGTGCACGGCAGATATAGAGCATGATGATGTTATGCTTATCTTGAGAATTCTATTGAACAAAGGAATAAGTTATGAAATAATAATTCTGATTTGGATCAATTTCAGGCCTGTTCAACTCCAGAAGCAAGGACTGAAAAACTGTTGGACGTCTTAAATGGACCAAACGCATTTCAGGGCTTGTGTGATGCTCTTACCGCTACAGAACAGAATTACATTGTTGACTTATACTTAAAATCGGATCAAGATGAAAAGAAGGAAGAAAAATCTCAACCGTCCGAGGCAAAATGTGTACAAGAAACCGAAACAAAAGCTCAGAAATCACAAAATGTTACAGAAAACAGTCAGTCACAAGGGATCATCAAAATGTCAGAGAATCAGCCCAGAGGACTAGAACATGCTGGTCCCTCTGGGGTTTCTGTTCTAGCTCCAAGCAGGTCACAGTTTCAATATGCAGCCATCATGCAGGAACAGGGAGCTGACCGATTTATTCTACCAAAATCCTACATGGAAAAACAAGATCCATACTGTTATGGCGCGGAGTCAGAAAATCGACTTTTGAAGGACCCTAATTGTTCCGGGTACAGTCCACATGGCAAACAATGGAATACCCAGTATCCCTACATGATGCACACCAAGAAAGGGACCGAGAAACCTGATTATATAGACAGAGAACATGAGGAATATAACCGAATCAGGTCGAAACATTATATAACAAAGGACTCGATTTATACCCTTCCCAACATGACTCCAAGGGAAGTGTATGTAGCTCACCAGGAGGCAGAGTATGTTGGACAGAGACCATCCCCACACGAGGAATACATCCGACTACGGCAGGGTGAGAGGGAAATGTTGCCACGGAATGATAGCCTAGGTATATGTAGGTTTACAGCAGTAAAAGTTTAACATTATTTTTATAAAGTGAAAGTAAGAATGATCAACCAAAACTTCAATGCTGCATGTTTGTTGATTATGTTAAACAATTTTAGATTGAATTACACGGAACATCATTTTCAAATTCAAACAGGTGTAAACTAATGTCTTATTGATTATTACTAATTATATTCTGAAAAATTGTTAATTAAAGTGTGTCATACTATCTCAATGGAAGATAAGGTATTTTGGTCTAAAGGACCAGTTTAAAATGAAACCGAATATACTTTTGTTCATTATAAACTACTGTCATGTTGTCCAGACTTTCCTATTCTGTATTACAGATGGTATGATCAAGCGACCATTCATGCCAAGTCAGGACTCCCATGATCACCCAGGTGAGTGAAAAATAATTTTATGCCCCCACCATAAAATGGGGGGGGGGGGGGCATTTAGTGTTGCCCATGTCCGTCCCATCCTGTCCCAATTCAATGAAAACACTTAGCAACTGCATTCTCTCACAGATTTTGGTCAAACTATATACAATATTCAAGTATGAGTATACGTCGGACACCTTTGTGTTTCAGGGTTCCAAGGTCAAGGCTAAGGTCATGGTTGATGGGGGGCATTCATGTCTTACAGACATTTTCTAGTTTATCTACAATATTATAAAGGTTTGTTATAGATCTTAGACTGTTGTGGTTTGGTTTGTGTTGAGATGTTTCATTTTAAGTTTCTGATCAGGACCCAGTTTTGTACAAAGCTAGACTTAAGGTATATCTTGTATTATGCCATCCTCTATACTCCACGGGTTACGCTCACTTTCGCTCTCTGCGCCCCTGGAATAAGTCATAGTAAAATTAGAGGCATGCTGCAATTAAAAAATGTTCTGACCAATCGCTAGGCTGAGACATGTCCTTTGCTCGACTTCAAAGCCAGTCAATTCTACTGTTTCACAGCCAACAGATTCTTTTGATGTACATCAAAGGATCACGCTAGTCTTCTCGTCTTGTCCACAAGGTGGTGTACACTAAGCCTTCAATTTTTTCATGATATATTTTAGAGATAGAGCAAATGTGAGCATAACCCCAGGAGTGTCGAGGATGGGAAACGTGGTCGCTTTCCACAGTATCTATTTTTGTGAATTTTGATGTGTTATTTTTAATTTTGATCTAGTCTCGACTTGGTTGTTTCAAGCTTGGTTTAATGTTTCATGTTACTGATTAGGACTCGGTTGTTTTAGCTTGATTAATGGACACATGAAGATAAACAATGAAAATATTTCATTTTCATGTTTATGATAAAAATTGAAGAAAAAAAAAGAAGTAGGCCACCCACAGATCTAAATTGATGGAATAAAATACTCCTTTAAAAAAAATGTGTGAATGTAAGAATAATATCTGTTTTGCACGTACTGGTGTGTTTACAAAACCTTATATATGGTATGTGGTTTTGTAATATTATTCATTTGACACTTTAAGGATTTCAACTAATTTGTCAAATTCAACAAGATAGTTTGAATATCCATGATTGTGGATAAAGTTGGGACAGAATTATTTATTTAGATTTGGAAAGGGTTTGTCTTGATTGGGATTAACTGGGTTCCACAACTGCTTCAATTAAATATTGTTACATACTGGAAATATAATGTTGTGTAATGATCAGGTAATACCAGGTTTCAATCTGATCAATTCCATAATTGTAGCTGCAATGTTTTGATGAATAATTTTACATATAACGGGTAGTTAAATAACTGTGTATACAGATATACATGTCAACGATGTCATGATGAAATGAAGTCAATTTATATGGTGTTTGTCAGACCGTACAGCAACAGACCAACTTCAATATACATGTATATTACAGGTGTCAAACGACTAAGGACAGAAGAGACTGTGATTTTACCTTCGCGGGATGGATCCGGTGGCTCCATCTGTGTCAGGGATCCGTCATACGATTCACATGGACTTTACAAACCATTACCTGAAATCTTCCTGGTGGACCCCTGCAGCCAGAGGAATAGCCGTGTCCCTCCTATCCAGCCGATCGGCGAGTTTGATGACCCAGATATTGACCTCACTGATGGACCAGTCTCTGTTAAAGTTGCACTTTGTCAGCGACAGTTTTATCTGAGTCACTTCAAAAAAGTTTGTATCTTCTTTTAACTAATTTGAAATGTTTATTTTCTTAAAATTGTTATATTCTTATATCTGCCATTTATATGGCTGTAATTAAATTTGAGCATTTTCTAAACAGTAATACACGTTTATATCAAATATATACATGATGTATGTATAACATGTTGGTATCAAATATACTTTCCATGTAAAACAAGTTCACATGAACCATTCACATTATGCATGTGCAGATGAAGAATGATTTAGCCTCATTATTCTACCACCTCTTGTTCTAAACAAAATCTGGCATTTCAAAGAGATTTTGAAATATATTGGAAACAAACTTCAAGTGATTGATCACAAACAAGGAGCTATTGGCTATATCCTTGGAGGAAAATAAAATAAAAATTTGCCTGAAAAATACATATATATACTTACAGAAAATACCAGGCATTATTATTTTAGAGACACAGAATAATTCAAGAGTAAATTCATTTATAGAGAATAAATTGAATTAAGAACGTTTTAAAGCAAATCATTAAATCTTTCAACTGTTTATCTTGGTTAAATTTGTGAAGTTAATGTTTCTGCCATATCAACTGAATCAGTATTTCACCAAAAATATTTATGTTAAGTTGTACTAATTTATTATAGTCCTATGCCATGCGAAGAATTCCACGGGGTCAGGCTCTGATCATCAATGTGAACGAGGTGGAGGGGAAACTACCACGACGAGGAACAAACATTGACAGAGACAACCTTCACAACCTGCTCACCCAACTCCACTTTAACGTGACAGTATACAACGACAGCGACAAACTCACTGCAGATGTAGGTGCCAACTCAAAAAAAAACATTTCTTGTAAACACTTTCTTAAAAGTCTTTTCAAGATAAAGATGTTTAAGAAAATCTATACAAAGCAAGCCCTGTAAAGTGTATGCAGAACTATTCCAATTTGATATGCTTCACCTCGGGGGACTGTTGCATCACACTTTATAGTATATAACACAGGGGCTTGCTACTTTCTTTAAAGTAAATATTTATTTAAACAAGGACTTGTAACATTATTATTATTATTCAGTTGTACACAGGGGACTGAAGTGTAATATTTACCATCTCATTATCACATATGTACAGGGGACTATATATGTATGTATTCCTTCTTGAATAAAAGTGCAAATTCAACACTGGACAATAGATATTGCATATATTTAGCAGTACTGGTAAGTAAATGTTGGCAATTAAACATCAGACAATTCATTATAAGGCTACATGGTGAAAGTGGTGGGTTGGAAATACAATTTAGTACAGTGGAACCTGTTTAATAGGATACATGTACTCTATTTGCCAGTGAAAAATATCAAAATAACCGATATATATATATAAACATAAACATTACATACTGTAGGGTGGAAATGATAATGGAACAGTCCTGTGTTTTCATCAAATATGCGTTTCCAAGACAATAGAAAGATATTAATTTCACATTAAAATGTTAAGTTTTCAAACTGGTTGTTTGCGTTGACCGTTGAGATAACGTACTTATACACCATACAGGACATCGGTAAGAAGCTGCAGCACTTTGTTTCACTAGAGGATCATGTCCAGGCCGATTGTTGTGTGGTCTGCCTCCTCAGCCACGGAGAGGAAGGTTACCTGTTCGGTACTGACGGGGCAAAGCTAGAGCTGGACAAGATATTCTCCCTGTTTGACAACAACAGCTGTACAAGTCTGATTGGCAAACCGAAAATTTTCTTTATCCAGGCATGTAGAGGAGGTAAGTATAGAAGTGTATAGTTAAATGAAACTTTGACTAAGTCTAACATAGTTTATTCTGAACGTAGACATATCTGCCTTTATATTCAGATCATAGTCCATATTTATTTAATCATAATATATAAGAATGCCTTTGATGTGACGTCACTCCAAATGTTGTGAATCTCCTTTCATCACTATCCCAAAATTTATCAATGTTATTAGACTTGGTGCTTGAGTCACGTTCTCAGGTATTAAAAGGAATTACAGTTCATGAGTAAATGAGTATTTCCAAACGAAACTAAATAGGTGTTATTGATTTAAATTAATACTATATACTGGGATTTTTTTCCCCTGCAGTTTTATTTTTGCCTTTTTCACCCACTGCAATGAGGGTGAATTTATCATTAGAGCAAATATTAGTAAACAATGAAGTAATCATAGCAATTAAATGTGAAGGTTGAAATCAACACGGGCGATTATAGATTGTTTCCTGGTATACAGTATCGGCTACTGTAGGTGTTAATGTCATCAACACTTAACTGTAAGAACCCTGTTTTTAGTAGTGTGAATAAGTTCCATGAGTGTACACATGAGATCTTTCTAATTCTAAATAATCAAACAACGGTTATATTATTAAAACATTACCATCATTTTACACAAGTTATATCTGTCGGAGCAACTCTCTCTCCCTTCTATTTCCTTTCCTACCATCCTCTTTTTTCCATTTATGTTTAATTGTCCTATTGGTTATCTTTCCAAAGCTAAATAAAAAAAGCCTTGTTTGAATATTTAAATTATTGATATATAATGAACACAATAACAAAAAGGACAGATAGATACACAACGACACAGTATAGGGGATGTTCAAGTTTTCCTTGAATGTGTACGAATTTAGTACTAAAGAAGTATAATCTGTTTTATTAATTAGGTGCGTTGGATGAAGGTGTAGCTTGGAAACAGGCTGATGAGATCGACGGTTCCCATCCAAGCATGCGACAACTTCCAACAATGTCAGACATGCTGATCTGTTATCCAACACAATCAGGTAAGTACTGATCCGGTTTGAGAGAAATGTATTCAAAGTTTGAGTCTTTTAGATGTGAGCACTCGTAGAGATCTGTGTCATCTATCTTGGTGGCTGTGAACACTGTTAACCCTTTCACCCCTATGTAACTTTAGTAGACTCTATCAGGCATTTATATGGTCCATTATGGTCTACAGTGGTGAAAGGGTTAACCAACACTGCCCTTGACAGAATGTTCGTTCTTCACTCATACATTTAGACCTAATATTTCATAATATATATTAAATTTGTATAATATTGTTCGATTAATGATCAATTAAATTAATTTATCTAGAACTGGTACAGCTATTATTGACATTAAAAATAATCAAAGCATATGTGCTAAAATATGATATTGCATTTACAAATTTGATAAAACATGCAAACTTTTTGGCATTCGTTCTTCAGATCTGCAGCTTAAGTGTCCTTGTTTACTATGCTCGACCAATAAGACACTTGTTTACTATGCTCGACCAATAATAAGGTAGAGAATCCAAAGTGCTGAAGATCATATTAAGTGCACCGTAAAATAGCTAATGCATACTGTGCACTCCTGCTACGCTGTACCATTGCCTTAGGTCATAATATTGTTAGAATGAAACAAATCAATCCAGGTTATTTTCACTTACTTTTTTTAGGACTGATAAAATTACTTCCCCTTAATTACCAAAACATATATATATAAACTGTAATAAACTATATGTTACTTCATTTTTAACAAAAAATAAATTTTTATTGCAGGATATTATGCATGGAGGAACCGTGAACGCGGGAGCTGGTATATTGAGGCCCTTGTTCAAGTCATAATGAAATATGCCAAAAATGAGGATATGTGTACTATGCTGAACAGGGTAAGTCAAACTGTATACTGAATACAGGAATGACAACCTGTGATGTTGTGTTAGGGAGGGGGCAATACATACTGAAGGTGACTTACCACCTGTGTTGTGATGTGGTAGGGGGGGGAGGGGGTAGTACATACTGTAAGGGACTTAAAATTTGTGATGGT